GAAAAAATTTACAGGTGCTTATTTATTCCAAATTGCATGAGAAAATCATGTGATTATCTATTAATAATAGACATGAAAAAACATGAGGTAGCTTCTCATAACTACGCAGAAGAAAAGCGCGCGCATCACGTGCAAAAATAATTTATTCAAACCCTGCAAGTGACATTGACCTTGACATTGACATTGACCAATCATTCTGACCAATCAGAATGTCTGGTTTGTTTCTTTCTTTGCACTGAATTAACTCTGCACTCAATTAACTGAAAACTTAACCAATCAGAACTGAGAAATTTTTTCATGTCTATTAGTATTAAAAATACCGATGTAATGTATCACAGATACACCAACTCCTGCGAGTGAGTTTGCCTTTTGGAGCAGGGGCAAAGCAATTAAACAATTGAGAAGGTTAGAGTAAGAGGAGAGAATATATGGTATTGGAGATTTGGAAAGGAACTGGCGATGAGTTGTGCTACTAATAGACCAGCACTCTGTTATCTAATGTTTAACGGTTAAATGGGCAGAAGTTTGTTACTGCCTCTTACATGGTGCTAACTTAAGTCAAGTGGAATCCCACTCTCTTGAATTCTTCTTTCTTTAAACTCTTCATCAATCCAACCAAAACTAGCTTCACTTCCTGTGTCAATCCCATTATTCAAACCATAGTTAGGTTTAAACCAATTTCCTTTTTCCTGGATGGTCTGAAAAATTTGGGATTCAACTTTACGTGCAAACAACAGTATGCTTGCTAGAAAACTGTCTTAGGAGAGTGAAATATCTTGAGATCCAACCAACTGTTGATTATATTGACTTTTTTTGTTAAAATGAAAATCACTGGATTTGATCATTTTGTTTACAGATCCTCGGGATCTTAATGGAGGTGGAAAAGATGGAAAAGGCATACGAAGAGATGGTGTCAGACTTGTTAAACTGGCTTAACACCAAGATTGTAGAGCTTGGCCGGGCATTCCAGAAGTCTATGGTAGCAGTTCAGAGGGAAATGGCATTATTTAAGCATTTCAGAACAGTTGAAAAGCCTCCAAAGTAAATTAACTTTGATTGCTTTTGATAACAGCTTGTCCTCTGATCGCTTTTTTTTTTTTTTTTTATTCTAAGTCGTTATAATTTTAATATTCAATCAGATACTCAGAACGAGTGAATATTGAAGCCCACCTATTCAGCTTACAAACGAAACGAAAGGGTAACAATCAACAACCTTACATACCCCCTGAAGGTAAATTGGTGATGGACATCAACAGAGCGTGGCAGGTCATGGAGAGTGCTGAACATGACAGAGAAATGGCGCTGCGTCAGGAATTGATAAGGTACCGTATTCGCTCGAGGGCGTGCCCACCCCATCCCCCCCTCCTTCGGAGGTGCATCGTACTTTGGAGTCATGTTCTCTGTTGATAATCGTCATTGTCGAATATGCGCCCTCGGATTTCGCGCACGGAAGCTCCCAGAACCTAGCTCAAGAGGACTTCTTGGTTAGCTGGGCTATCTACGGGGTTCATTTGTGACAAGTATCCAGCATATACTGTCCGATCAGGACAGTTTGGATAGTCAAAATAGAGCGCTTTTCGATGGGTGTCGTAAAATCAAAACCTAAGTAACTGAAATGGCCAATAGAAGAAAGGAAAATACCCTGAATAGCTAGTGAGAACTCATATCGAAAACAGGTAAAGCGCGAGAAAGCGCGGCGAACAGTGTGCATCTGATTGGTTAAGAGAGCGGCGCTAGGTTTGTGGACCAATCACAGAGCGAAGTAAAGCAAAGCGAAGTAAAGCAAAGCGGATTACTTTCAACACTCAGTTGAAAATTGCTCTAGTATCGAATACCAATTACACATACTGGCTAACTTTTCCTTGGGAAGCGCAAGAGTGTCATTGTAAGAAGATGATAAGCACAAGGCCGCAAACACATATTTGGCTACCTACTAACTGTTTCAAGATACTTCGGTAGGGAAACCTCATTGAGACCTATCCAAAATTACTGCAAGAGCATCATGTAATTTCTTTAATGTCTTTGTTGTTCCCAGGCAGGAGATGCTTGAAAAACTAGCTGACAAATTTGAAAGGAAGGTAAAGAGTTACTTTAAGTGAGAATGTGTCGTTTTTCATAACAGCGGTATCTGTGCAAATTTAGCCCATTCTTGGACTTTTGCTTGTAAAACAGAGTGCGTTTGGATCGCATCACGACCCAACCCAAATTTTAAAGAAACGTTTACTCAAATATATGAGGAGAAATTACTGTTGAATAAAGCGATAGTACGGGCTCTCTATAGGTTTATTGGCATACCAGTCCCCGCAAATTTCAAGAGAACTCTAGAAAAATCGAGCTGCTCAGTTTCGATGTAAAAAGTACGCAAATAAACTCCCAATTTACCAATTGAATTATTTTTCCTGTAAACCGATAAGGAGTGTGGTCTTTCGCTTCTATAAGGTAGCCGTAGGTGGACAAGTACAATAAACGATATCTTTTCGACTAAGTAGAGCATGCGCACTTTTCCAATTACTCTACAAAAGGTCGCAATGTCCTGAAAAAGGGGAAGGGGAGACATTTACTCGTGAAAGTAGTGCGTCAGGGGCAAGGAGATTTCAGAATTTTTCACAGCGCTCTAGAAATAGTGATACGGTACGTATATGTTTGATTTGTCAGGCTTCTCTGCGTGAGTCTTGGTTGGATGATATGATGCATGTTCTGGAAGGAGAAGCTTTGGGTCAAGATGCAGCTACTGTAGAAGCAGCCTTTAAGCGACACGAAGCCATCAGTACTGACGTCAAGGCCAGGGTAAGTGATAACAACCTGTAGGCTTCCCCGCGGCATTCGTTTTTTTTTTTTTTTTTTTTTTTTGTGTGTGTGTGTGTGTGTGTTTTTATGAGCGGAGGTAAGCGCGAGGCGACTGCGAGGTGCAAGACACACGCGAGAAGAGAAAGCGTTATTTTTTGCGATCCTTTGCTCGCGTTTTCGAGCTCGCTCGTTGCCTGCCTCTGATCGCCTACAAAACGTAAAGAAATGATGCCTGAGTGGGCAAGTGGAGGTAAGCGTGAGGAGAGCACTAGGGGCGAGACACGGGCGAAAGGAGCAGCCATTATTATTCGAACCCCTCTTTTCGCGCTTAACTTGCAGTTTCGAGTTCGACTCGTGCTTTCCTTCGTTCGTCTCGAAAAACGCAACAGAAAATGACACATTGCTGTGCAAGAGGAGGTAAGCTCCTCCAAGTGCGCATAACTCGCGTACTGGAGACACGTACGCAGAGTTACGCGAGAGGCAGACACGAGCTCGCCTCGTGCCTGCCTCCTCTCGCCTGTACAGAAGTACAAACGAGCCTAACCCCAAATGCGTGTAATATGCCAAAAAGATTACTTGCCATTTTGACATTTCCCTTTGTGATTTGCAGGAAGAACGTTTCCAGATGGTCTTTGATCTGGCCCAAGAACTGATTGATGAAGACTACCACAGATCTGATGTCATCAGTGCGAGGTATCGTGATTTGTCAAAATCTCCTCACCAAAAACCCATCACATGCAATCTCATGGCCCAAACTCAACGTAGAAACAGCAACATAGAAGTCTCTTTAAAATTTGTTTAGATCCAGTGCACTGGATCTGCATATTCCTCCGCGGTTTGCTCTTTCAATTTATTATGGTAATAGTACTTTGTGTTGTCCAATTCGGTCTGTAATCACGAGAATGAACCCGCAGACCTCCCCTATGGATCTGCCATCGTGGAAAGGTCGCCACCTGTCTTCAATCTCTTTTCTTATTTAACTCTGCGCTGTTATCATGCCCCACCAGGAACTTCAGGAGCAAGCTTTAGAGACGGAAAGGGAAGCGTTTTATGACGCATTTTGTTACGTTTGTCCTTTTAACAAAACAGATGCAGAGGTCCCTAAATTGAAGACCTCTGTCGACTTATTTAACCCAATCTGACTCAACGTTTCAGAGAGGAGGTTATAATGACCAAGTGGGACAAACTGATTGGCATGTTAGAGGCAAAGCGTTCAACTCTGGTGGGTTTTAAGGATCTTGTTGGTCTGTTCAGAGAGATGGATGGTGCACACGGTGACATGCAGGATATTGAGGTACTAGCAAATAACAAAGATGAACTTAGTTTCTCGCGTTTTCCGTGCTTTATGCAATTCGCTTGTACAGCTTGGGTTTGTCATTGAATCCTTTTGTGGTTTTCTTTTGTTCTGATGGGCCATTATTATTACTCATACGAGAGTATATCGAAAGCCCTTCTCTAAGGTGGTTTTCAATCGAGTATCGAATATTATCCGGGATCCCATTGATTTTACTTTACTTCGCTTTGTGATTGGTCCCTAAAACTCGCGCCACTTTCTTAACCAATCAGATGCAGAACTAAACCCAATCGCGACTTGGTCGACCACGTTATGCCGCGCGTTTTCCTCGCGCTTTTTACTTGTTTTTACTTGAGTTCTCATTGGCTGTTTAAGGAATTTTCCTTTCTTCCGATTGGTTTTTGTGATTACTCTGGCTTTTGACAAAACTTTATTATGTTTTGCAGGCGGCTGTGAGATCTGAGGAGTATGGCAAGCATCTGTTAGATGTGGAAAATCTTCTCCACAAGCACAGTTTGATTGAATCGCAAATTCAATCTCAAGGGGAAAGTGTTCAGAGAATCAACAACGTGGCGCAGAGGTTTATCAAAGCAAAGCATCCAGAAAGTCGGGTCATTAAAGAAAGACAATCACTCCTTACACAAGCTTTTGAGGTAATATTATTGAATCCTACAAAGGGGTTTCAATTGCAGCCGGATAGCAGTTAGATCCGTTTACCTGCTTGTAATGCGCTGATCACATGCTTGTAGCTTTTACACAAATGTCATCGTGCTCCTAACATGCATGCAACTCTCTTCAACTTTGGTCAAATTGTTCGACTTTTTTAGAGAAACAACGAAGCAACAGAAATTGGAATTGTCTTCAAAAATGCAGGAAAATACGATTACAATCATTTTTCAGGGAGCCTGGAACTCCTTGGGTACAAGAGGCTCTCCATGTCTTCAAAACTACCTGTCTGCTATTCCAAACTACCCATTGGTATCATATTGTAATGAAACAGCCGCTACATTAGCAGGGCTGTCAGTAACTTAGCCTGTAGAGCAGGTGCAGTTTTGGCGAGCGAGTACTCAATATTTTCTTGGTGAAAATTGTACAATTTGTGTAGCTGTCATCTGTGATTTTCACAGCAGCGGAAGGCTGGGGAGAGAAAGAAATTTGTATTAAGTGGGGGAGTGACTGTCAAAAGGAAGGAAAGGGGAAAGGGATGGAGACAAGATCGCAAGCTTGAAAAGTTAACCCGCCCTGAGAAGACGCTTGCACTGCAAGGCTCTCGATAATTTTGAAGTGGTAAGAAAATGAGGAATGGAAGGCGGTCAAATTACATGATTTTATGTTTCATTGTTTTCGTCCACAGGCGTTAATTCAGCTGGGAAAGGAACGTCGCGCAAGGCTTGAAGATTCTTTGAGACTTTACAAATTCTTTGGAGACATGGAGGAGGAAGAAATGTTTGTTAAAGAAACCGAAAAAGTTCTCTCATCAAAAGATGTTGGAAAGGATCTGATAAGCTTGACAAGACTCCAACAGAAGCACAAGGTTAGCCGCTACAGAGAATTAGTTAAACGTATCTGTTTGTCGTCGGATGTTATTAAAACCGGGAATGACCGAATTAGACGGGCGTGTCCACAAAACTGGTGCTCAGACCCTTTTTCCGTGTTTTCCTCCACCATTTTGAATTTTTAAACGAATTACAACAGAACGAACGGTGTGCCAAACATTGACTACCAGAGGGAAGAATAAGAACACAAGATTTTTGATGCCTTGATCTTTCTTTTGAATTCAAGCTGTACTCTCGACGCCCAAAGTGTTCATTTTCTCTTGCAATGAGAAAATCAGTTCTTATCTGACTGGAAATTCCCTTCTACGGCTTTGGGAAAGTTAGTTTCCGATTTGTTTCAGTTTTAATTATCGTTCTAACTCGATAGGCTCTGGAAGCTGAGTTAAGTGGCCGTTTTGCGCATTGTGAGACAGTATGTGCTAAAGGACAGTCGCTCGTTGACAGAGCTCACTACGCTTCTAAAGAGATCAGAGCAAAGATCAAACAGCTGCAGAACAACTGGATGAAACTAAGAGAACTGTTAATCACAAGGTCAGAGAGATTAAAGGATGCCGCGCAATCACTGCAGGTATGGAGTGCTTTTTTGAGGCAGAGTAACAGATTGACAGGCTGACGGAAGGAATGAGTGAGCGAGTGGGGGAGGAGGGGCTGGTGTATGGTTGGGTGGGTGGGGGAGTGGGTAAGTAAGTGGAGGCGTTGGTGGGTGGATGGTTTAGTGAGTGAGTGAGTGAGTAAGTGAGGAGGGACTGGGGATGTGTGCATGGATGTTTGGTTGAGTGAATGATTAATTGAGGGAATAAATGATTATTTGGTTACTTGCAGAGCTAAACAATAAACATTCTTTTCTCTGCTCTGTATCTAGTATTACTCAGATTCTAATGACGCGGAATCTTGGATGAAGGAGAAAATGTACGTTGCGAGTAGTGAAGATTATGGTAGAGACGAACAGAGTGCAATGGTAAGTATAGAAATTCCGCGAAATAATTTCCAGTACGGCTTTTACCCATTAGTCTTTTATTTGAGCCCTAAATTGATCTCTTGCTGATTTAATGAGTGACGAATCCATTATGCATTTACCTGCTTTAAACCTATCATATTAGACGGAGGCAAATGCAGGCTTTAAAAGGCAAACTTATCTATATTCTGCAACCCTACCAAACCCAAGGCATGGCAACAGAACTGCTCTTGAACGGTTTCTTTTTTTTTATGGTGAGGAGATGGGAGGAAAGCTCAACATTGGGGGCTTAACAGAAGGGGAGCTTACTGGAGTGTTTACGATTGGTTCCCTATGTTATTTACAATTGTTTTGATCTGCTGTTGTATTCGCTTTGTTTTGGTTTCATAACCCGTAATCCAATAGCTCGATTGTTACCACTTTGTGATATGTACCTTTACAGTACGACAGGCCTTCGAACGTTAGGGGTTTTGGTAACTTTTTCAATAATTAGCCGTGATTTTGAAAATGGTGGCTGCGGCGTAAGGCGAAACTCAAAGACGAGAGCCTGGCTCAACAGACAGTGGTACGGGGTCCTACAGGCGGCGATAGACCTCTGGTAACCGGATTTTATTTAAACCCCTGGCGTTGTAATACTTCCAGCGAACCTCTCCCGACTCGTCTCCAATCTTTCCTCGGGCAGAGAAACGCGCGTCTTGTAGCACTAATTATGCGGGCCTGGTCACGAGCTAGTACTGTAAAGGTAGAACCAACTTGTTGAGCACAATAAACAGTAACAAAGCACTGCTCAAAAGTGCGTTTTTTGTGGTTCTTTTTCCAGTCCCTGCTGCAGAGACACACGAACGTGATAGACGAGATTCAAGGCTTTGCTGATGACATGAATCGTTTGAGGGAACAAAGTAAACTGATGGAGAGCAACGAACAGGCGGCTCAGGTAAGCAACACTGTTTTATAGTCCTTCTGCTTTATCGTGTCGCATGACTCGCTTTTATTTCATTTTGTTACGTACATCTTGGATCGATGTCACCACCCGAGCAACTGCGGACCTACCCCTCCCCTCCCCTGGCCCGACAACAGTCAACTGATAACAATTTAACTTCGTGTCTGGTTAGGGGAGGGGTGGGCTAGGGCTGCTGAACTTAGCAGTATGAAGGACGCGTATCACATGTGAACTTGTAAAGGCTTGATTCACGATTGAGTCTCTGTGGCACAGTGTTGTACAATCGGAGCGCAGACTTCTTAGGTCGGTGATGTGATTCATCACAGGGTTCTCAGAATGTTTTCTTCGCCCCACGCTCTTGACAAGACGAAAAACATCGTTTTTTACTTCATCACGGAACTTAAAATTTACAATCGTTCTTATTCTCGATACTTGCACGGAGGTTTTGACAAAGCAAATCCTAGCAGTATGCAGGATGCGTGTTACATATGGACTCAGTTAAGTCCTAACTCACCACAGAGTCTCTGTGGCAAGTGGAATAGCATCCGAACCCAGAATTCGAAGGCCTGGAGATTCAGAATCCTTTCTTTGTCCTACGCGTCGTGACGAGACGAAAAATGTCATTCCTTATTTTCTTCTTTGTTTTCTCGCTAGACGAAGGTGGAACTTTATGAAGAGGAAACTGAGGTGGAGACAGACGAAGAAGTTGAGGAAATTGTCGAAAAAGAAGTTGTGAAAGATGTTGTACAGGAAGTTAAAGTCCCGCAAGTAAAAGCTTTGCACCCATTTGCCGGACAAGGGCTTAAAATGACTAGAGGAGAGGTGAGGAGGGGTGGTCTGGTGTAAAAATGAAGTGTGGGAGGGGGGAGGGGAAAGGCAGTCAGTGCCCCAAGTTGCGGTTATTGTGGTTCCCAGGCGAGTAGATAAAATTTAAGCCCCAGATTTGTAGCGAAATTCGCCAAATTTGTACAGTGGTCATGTAGCAAAGTATAACGTTTTTTTCGCTTGTTAGTGTTACATAGTCTTGAGTTAGGATGAGATTTACATTTACATTTATATTTTTAGGTATTCTTCTTGATTTCTAAGACGAACAAAGACTGGTGGAGTGTAAGGTATGTTAAATCTGCTAACGGTTCATTTCAGCAATTTTCCGCTCTTTGTTTTGAGTCGACTCAATACCAAATTCTTCAAAGTAACATCATGAGAATTATATGGTAGACCGCAAGGAGAATTACTAATGACATCTTTTGGGGGGAAGGGTTAAAAGAGCCCCGAAATTATGGTTAAATCTGAGGATGGAACAACTAAAAGTGTACTAAGTCTTTGATAGCTTTCTTTTATCTCTCCAGGCGTCTGACCTCTAAAGAAGCAGGTTACGTTCCTGCTAACTACGTGAAGGAGATTGAAGCCAGAACAGTGAAGAAAACTACCAAACAAAAGGTTATCGTTCCAGAGAAGGTCTTGGTAAAACGAAGAGTGAAGAAAAAAGTCATGATTCAAAAGCAACGAGAAGTGAAAGTCAAAACTCCTGAAAAGAAAGGTGGGTAAAAGATTTGGAACCTTCCACGTGAAATTACTGTTTAGAAAGTTTCATTTGATTGGTTACAACTAGGAAACAAAATTGGAGCCAACTTGTAGGACGTATACCACAGAACCATGTGAAATAACTGCGCGTATCTTTTACTGCAATACCCCCAGCAAAGCTCTCCTCGACTGGTCTCCAATCTTCCCTCCGGCAGAGACACGCGCGTCCTGCAGCAGTAATTAATTATGTGGGCCTGGTCACGAGCAAGTACTTCAAAGGTAGAACCACCTCGTAGAGCACGATAAACAGTAACACATGAAAGCGCTGCTCAAAAGTTGTCATTTGGATCATCACAATTAAAAGTCTTTACCACTGCGTTGATGATTGCAATCACTTTATACACATGAAGAGAAGACCTTTCAAAATTTTGATCAACATACTTTCAATTATTTTATAGGTAAATCTCGCCGACAAGTTAGACGCCATTTCACGGCCCATTTCGATCGCGACAACGTTGCAACGCGTCAGATCTCACTGCAGAATATGTACTCAAGACTGGTGGACATGGCCGAGGTACTGTGTGCGTTGCATAGAAAGTTTGTCGACTTAGTGTTGTAAAACCAAAACCAAAGTAATTATAACGGTCAATCAGAAGGAACGAAAACACCCTGAAAAACCAATGAGAGCTCAAAGTAAAAACAAGCAAACTTGCGAAACCGCGGGAAAACGCGGGCGACCAAGTTGTGATTGGTTGTTTCCATCTGATTGGTTGAGAGAGTGGCGCCAGTTTTCTGGACCAATCGGAAAGTAGAGCAAACCCAACGCAATCTTGTTACTTACGACGCTCAATTGAAAATTACTGTGTTCTTGTTATTTATTAATTCTCCAGTGTTTTAATGAGATTTAGTTTCTGCTGAAAATAATTCGTCTAACTATGTCATAATGTACCCTTTAGATTCGACGTGAGAATCTGGAGAACTCTATCAAGTATTTTCACCTCTGTCATGAATGTGATGATATCGAGTTTTGGATGAAAAACAAGGTTAGTTTCCTTATTGTTATTTGTATTTACTGCGTTTACCTGTCAATTCATTTTAGTGACGTGTATAGCAACTTCCCTGAGTCCATCGAACAATTAAACCCCTAGGTCCATAATAAAAGTAACCTTGTTAAATAATGGAATGTATTTATTGAAGTTTAAAAAAATTTGATATGCCCTTAAAGTGCCTTCCAATTTGTCCCGGTCATCGCGCGGCCAAAATCGCACGTGATATCGTAACGTGACGTCACATTGTGTACCTCAATGGAACTTTCAGAAGAGTCGGAATCTAAGGAATCATTAGAATCACAGGACATCTTTGCCTTTCAATGCATTATCTATCTACTACGAAGTACTGCAGAATCCTCTTAGCGACAACAACCTTCGCGGCAAAGGTTCACTATGTGACGTCACGAATGACTTCGACGGCGATAAACTAGGTCCCAGTCTCCGAGACAAATTTGTAGGCAAACTGCGCGTATTTTGAAAGCGAAAAAAAAATCCTTTTTACATTTTCCAGCACTTTTAAAGCTTCGAAACGTTTTCTATACATATCCAACTACAAGAAACAAGAGAAAAAGATTTCGTGTCTTATGCACTTTAAGGTAGGCACTATTCTCACAGTGCCTTTCTCCATCCAGGAATCAATAGAGGTAGTGGATAGTGGATTGTGAGTCTCTCACTGCAGCCTAATATTAACGATAATGATAATAATGTTGCCTTTATAAAGAGTATTCTCCTTATTGATATGCTCTAATGCGCTTTATAACACTTTGTGGGGGCTTTGGCCAAACTGCGGTGAGCAGTTAACAATGTTTTGAAAGGAAATTTTTCAGGTTCCCCCAAATTAGAAATTTTTTAAACAAGGCCAGACCGCAACAACAGAAGTCACGTTCCTTAAACGTTGCGAGAAGTGCCTGGGTTCTTTAACGTCCCTCCTAGGTAATACAAAGAAGATGCAGGAGACGGAGCCAACCGTTTATCGTTCCAATTTTAGAAGACTAGAAGGTCTAACCATTTTCAGATGTCATAGCAAAGGCAGCACATTCTTCTCAGTTATTTTAAGACCCTGAGTGTTGGTCGGAACTGGGGCTCAAACCCTCGACCTCCCGCACGGCAACCCGGCGCTCTCCTATCTATATTTTCTGCCTTTGGTCGTTCTAACATTTGTAATTTAACGTTTTGCTTCGACTAATCAGGAAAGTCAGCTCACTTACAAAGGTGCGTCTGAATCAGACAACGACATTCATGTCATCCGCAAAAATCTCGAGGTAGAGTCTCAACTGAGCTAATCTGTAATAAATACAACTTTTGATGACTTTTTTTCTTGCTTTTTGAATCTCTGTGAATTTATGTGTTACTAACGATTTTTTAGAGCAATTTTCAATTGGGTGTCGACAGTAATCCTGGACTGATATCATATTAATTGGTCCAGAAAACTCGCGCTACTCTCTCAACCGATCAAATGCAAACTAAAACCAATGACGACTTGGTTGCCCGCGTTTTCCCGCGCTTTACTTAGTCGCCCGCGTTTTCCCGCGCTTTTGGCAGTTTGTTTTTACTTTGAGTTCTTATTGGCCCTTAAAAGTATTTTCCTTTCTTGTGATTGGCCGTTGAGCTCAATTTTGTTTTGGTTCTGCGGCACCTAATCGAAAAGCGCTCTATCCATGTTATAATTGTCACACGTAACAATAATTTGTAAAGTTCTGAGCTTCTGTAACATTTTTTTGTTGTCCTGTGTTACTGTGTTGCACATTAGTTTAAGCTTTAACTCAGCTTACTCTAATTTGATAAGAACAAATTTTAATTGAACCTCTAGTAACAAAAGTAAAGATGGTCCTCTTGGGTCAAGTATAGTGAAGAGTTGTCAGTGGTCCGTCACCGAATCGTACCATGGAAAAGAAAGCGTGACCGACCTTAAGAACGCCTGCGTTCTGAATTCTGCTCCAGGAGTGGGACAGGCAGCCAATTTATAGACGAAACGAGTTGAAAAATTTCCCAGGTTACTGTAATCCAAAACTAGATCAGAAGAGAGAATGCTTTGCGATGCGAAAGTTGGAACGTTTTTCGTTGTCTTTGAATGGAAATTATAATTTCGTTCAATGGAAAAGCAATGGCACTGACAAGCGCTACATGTTAGTCTTCTCTAGGATCTGATTCAGCTTCAATTTTCTCTGACGGAGAATCTAGTACATTGTGACCATGGAAAATTTTACAGGACTGTTTCTGTCTTTTTCTCGGATCGTTTCTGTTTCATGAATGTGCACGATGTTATTTTTGTTTGTTAGATGCGTGCTATTCATCTGTAGCTGTTATCACAGTTCTCGTCCATTTGCACGAGGCAACATTGCACAAAATACTGTTATGAGTACCCATAGAATTAACTCGTTCACTCTTTGGAGCAAGCAATTTATGATTTATCCTGACCATTTTGACACAGTGTCAAACAGATAGATCACGAGAAGAAAGAAAAAGTTTTCTCAATAAGGGAGTATTGTTTGAATTGACATTAAGTTTTGCGAGTAAAATTAATGAGAAATGTATGCCAGAAAGTGAGAATCGATACCGAGTTCATAGGAGGGAATGAGTTAAAAGAATATCCTTGTTGTTTTAAAGTGGCAAACGCACCTGTTTTGTGACGCGTCAAAAGCACATCTTTTGCACCAGTTCTTGTGTCAGGGAAAATGATGAGTCAAGTATTGAAGCCTGTTTGACGTTTGCATTGTGTCCACAGGGTCTCACAACAGAGCTAACCGCCAACAACAGCCGTATAGCTGAGATAAATTCGCTGGCGGACCAACTGATAGACACGGATCATAGGCATTCGGCTGCAGTGAAGAAGAGGAGGAAAGACATCAACGACATGTGAGATTTAGATTAGAACAATTTTTTTAAGTGAGTGTCGAAAGTGGTTCGGGATTGCTTTGATTTTACTTAACGTCGCTCTGTTATTGGTCCAGAAAACTCGCGCGACTCTTTAAACCAATCGGATGCAAATCTACAACCAGACGCGACTTTGTCATTCGCTTTATCACGCCCTTCTAGCGGTTTCCCGCGCTTCAAGCGGTTTCCTTGTTTTTCACTGCGTCGTCATTGGCCAGGGATGATGTCTTTCTTTTTCTGATTGGTCGCTGTGATGACTTTGGAAACTGCACCACTTTCCTTCAATAGAAACACGGTTTGTTTTGTGGTGTATTTTCAGCACACCAGTGTTTGATACACCGGAACCTTATTCGGGTGACATCTTGTGACTAGGAAAAGTTTCCCCTGAATAGGTTGTTTCTTCAGTTGAGATAATATATATAGTGGTTGTACAGTGGGACTAGAAAAAGTGTCCCCTAAATAGGGCCCAACATCGTTCCCAGGGCCTTTTGGCTTAGCTAGGGGTGGGGCGGGAAAATGTTTTTCACGCCCCACCCCCACCTAAGCCAAAAGGCCCTGGGAACGAGGTTGGGGGTTTCCCTTAAACATAGGTAACAGAGACAAATGTTGTAGGAGCATCTTCTAAGACGGGGGCCAGATTTGTGTCTTTTTGGAAGAGGTGTTCGATTGATGGGTAACCTGTAATATTTTTTTGTTACAGTTTGAAAGTATCTGTTTCTGAACTGGGAGTTCTTGTGAAGTTAAGCTCATTCTGTTATCCCTTTGTATTTTACTGAAGGTGGGAAAATCTTCAGCGGTTAAAAAAAGCTAAAGAAGAGGAGCTACGAGAAAAACATGGGTAAGAACATCCAGGCCTTCATGATAGCGATGCAGCACCAGCGTTTCTTCGTACTGAACAGAGCAGGCCGGCGGGAGGTTTGTCAAGGATCTGGCACTAGTCAGTACCAGACCCCTTCGCAGAGTTCTCGCTGGCTCGCGTTATCCAAGGCCTCTAACTTACTCGCAGGCGAGAAAACCTTAGGATAGGGTAGGATAGGATAACTTTATTTATACACGGTTTTTCCATCGGTTGATTTAGTTAATTCTATACTAGAAACCTATCTATCTAACTACAATAATAATTTGATAACAGCAATTCAAATAAAAGAAATAAATAAAAAATTTTGCTTTTCATGGAGGCCGTGTCTAAAATTTACGTAGAATTAAGATCTTACTTTAAACTGTGGCGACTTAATTTAGATTTGAAATCAGTCAGCGAAGACGCTTGTCTTAGGTCTACAGGTAAGTTGTTCCACAATTGAGCTCCGCTGTACGAAAAACTTCTCTTGAGATAGTCAGTTCGAAGTTGTCAAAGAACTAATTTGTTTTCGGTATTCCTTAAACGATAAGCATTTACCTTCGCACTTACCTTCGCACTTACCTTTAAAACCTTCGCAATGAAGCGCTTATGGTCAGGACCTGCTCGCAAGCTAAAGAACATCTGGAGGGATTAGGCACCGGTTTAAACGAGCTGATTCCTGAAACCTGTATTCCATACTTATTTTACACCACAGGAACTGAGTTTCAAATATGCGTAATTTTTTTGTATTTTTGTTTTTTAACTTTTTCTTTGGTTAGGGTCGAGTTGTTCTTTGACTCTTGTGAAGAGATGAAGTCGTGGATTCAAGAGAAGGATGCTATTTTATCCGATGGAGATGTCGGGAGAGATTTGGAGACTGTCAGAGCCTTACAGAGGAGACACCAAGTAAGTCAGCAAAAACGAGAAATAAAAACTTTGCGCCGTGTAAAAAAATACCAAAATAAGTTATACAGTACCGGAAAACGTGAATGACTAAATTGTGGTTGGTTTAGTTTTGTACTGAGATTGTTTTAGAGGGCGGCGCATTTTTTTTTAGACCAATCAATTAACAAGTTAATTTGTAGCAGTTAGAAAGGAGAATTAAAACTCAGGTCTTGGAAGTGTTAACACAAGTGTACCTGCCCCGCAAAATGAGAACCCCACGACAGTAAAAAAAAGTCATATACAATACTAACTAACAAGAGGTTACGTGACCGGCCAATTTTATTTTTTAAAAAAATCTTTTCTATTATTTTCTTTTTTTGATAATTCTTGTAGGGTTTCGAAAGAGATCTCGCTGCAGTGGAAGAAAAACTTGTAAAGTTACAGGACCAAGCGAAATCGTAAGTTCATCATTTTGATGGTTTATTTGGGATTACAAAACTATTATCGGCAGTCAAACGTCTGCGCATGTGCGACCGTTGTAATGACCAGGTGGCGTGCTTTCTGAGTGTCAGGACCAAGCTGTCGCACACGAGTTACAAACAACTACGCAAGCCAGTAAATCACAGTGCTTTGAAAGCATATAACTTTTTTGTTTAAGCTCAAAACAGAATAGTCAATCAAAAGGATTCCCGTTCTTGAATAAGCCTTATGTTCGAAAAGTGTCGACTTTTCCTTTTCCCTACTTTTTTTCCTTATTTTTTTTTTATGTCACAGCTCTCTTTGAATGTTTCAGTGTTCTTTCGTTTATTTTACGAGACAGCAGTTTATCATGTTTTACCCTGAAATTTTGCGCGGAAAATTGGTGCGCGTCCGGCCAGAACTGATCCCTTCACGCATGCCCGACGTTTAACCGCTGTGCATGCATGATCTGGTTTACTTTGTTTTGCAGCCTTGTCTCCCATCACCCTCGCCAAGCTCGCCAGATCAAAGCAAAGGAAGCGGAGATTATTGGATTGTGGAATGGTTTGAAGGCGAGTTTTAAAACACTTTTGAATTTTGCTTTTAAGAAGGTGAGGGAGAATATTGGAATGAAGTCTTCCAATGTTTGCCTCGAGAAATAGTCAAGGAAGAACTTTTCAATGTCATGGAAACTTTTAAGTTGTTACAATGATACGTTAAACCATGCTTTGGCTCATGTCTCGTTTTTTTTTCGTTGGTCATTGTACAAACGCCTTATTGAGATAGACTGAGAGAAACAATGGAAGGATAGGACAGGACGTATTTTGGAGAAAAGTGGAAAGATTGATTTTGTTCTTTCTCTTCTTTTAAGGGCAAAGCAAGCAAAAGAAAAAATGTCCTGGATGAAGCTTACGGTCAGCAGGGCTTCCTTGCTGATTCAAGAGATCTGGTAAAAGCATGTGAAGACGTCTCACCACCGTGTTTTTCCTCCATTTCTTACGCGATAGATTGAGATCTCCTTGTTTCTGACCAAACTGTAATTTGTTTCGTCTTTCCTTTCAGTTGTCTTGGGCCTCAGACATGCGCAACTCACTTAGAATTGGAGACACACCTAAAGACGTGAACAGCGCCAAGCAACTTATTCAAGAACATGAAGAAAAGTGGGAAGACATTCAAACACACAACGACAGGTACGGACCAAAAATTGCCACAGAAACATATTTTAATCTTATTCAAGTGGATCACTTATGTGTTAATTTATTGTGAACTTAACAGTTTGATTTAAAATTCGTGGTACTAACGAGACTTACCTTTTTACCCCATGATATGACGTTGGTCATACTTTGAGGTTTAGGTTTGGACCTAAGATTCACTCACTCACGTTCTTGCCTTTCCTGCAAGGATTGGTTCTTTCCCCATTCATATATGAGGGGGTGGGACAAAGGCGGAGATTTTTGCTTATTTTCTAGTGTGATTCCTTTGGTTGTGGTTTTACGACACTCGATAAGAAAAAAATGCTCCGTCTCCCGTAAGGTGACTGGTTCCTTTGATGTCCTTGTAGATTTGACCAGTTAGTAGAATATGGTCAGCGGATGGTCGCCTCAAACCCACGAGTGAGACAGCTAAAAGACAGAGTAGCGGCTCTGAAGAAAGAGAAGGAAGCACTGAAGGACACTTGGATTGAAAGAAATGAGGCACTACATGAAGGCCAAGATTTGCAGGTAAGCCGTTCAGTCTAGACGTAATGTCATGTAGTCTTCACTAATGTATCCGTCGTTTTCCATCTCTCTGTCTCAGTATTGCACCGTTTATTATTAAAAGGACGACCCTCATCTCCGCGAATGATCTGCAAAGTCATCAGCATCAAAGAAAATGTGATCCTTCACCCTTAATGCTTAAACCGCTAAGAGTGATTAGCATCTAATTTCTCCCTCGATCAAAAATTTCACGAAAGAGAAGTTCCACTGTTTATGAATCGGATCTGAACATTGAATCGGTGTATCATATATTTTTTAATTTTTTCCTTTTCACAGGCGTTCATCCGAGATGCGGAATACGTAGATTCCTTGTCAGCTTCTCATGAGGCATTTCTGTCTAATGATGATCTCGGGGTATGAACTATTTCATTGTAATATTTCAACATCGAACATAACCCGAGTTTGTTAGCTTTCAAAGATTTGTACACTGAAGGAACAACACAGTAATAATCTACCTTAGGTCCTAGGAGTAACCAAAAAGGAGTTTCTTCTTACATCATCAATACGTTTTTAAGAAAACAAATATGAAAGTATGAGATATTTGTTGAATTAACATAAATTCTCTGAACTATAACCACAAGAAATATATGGCAGAACTTCCGGAGAATTTGTATATAGATCTTAGAAGTTTAAGTGTCAGAGCATCAGCGTCGTAATGACTAATTTATCTGCGCTCTGATTTCAGGATTCTGTGGATGATGTACTAATGCTTCTGAAACAACATGACAATTTGGAGAAGACGCTGATAGCACAGGATGAGAAGCTGCACTCGTTAAATGATATGGCGAACAGCCTCGTGACAACTGGTCACCGCGACAGACAATGGTGCGCTATTTTTCTCATCCTAGTTATGTCAAAGCGGCAAATTGCTGCGCCGTACTAAACTCGTTAACGAATTGACAAAAAAAGATCAAAATTCTACAGCATTATCGATGGTAACGTAACCCAAGGGATAAAAATAAATTAAGTCTTACTTATTTGTACGTTATGTCAATCATTTCTAGTGAAATGATGCGACTCAGTATAATTTGGCATTAGTTGTGGGACGTGCATAAGTGAAAACTCTCGTTAAGCAAGGGAGCTCGAAGAGCCATCGATTTGCACCCCTTTACTCTGACCTCGACATTCGTCTCTTACTTGATGTCTTGAAGGATTTCAAAACGCAAAGAAGAAGTCCTCAAAAGAAGACAGAGTGTCAAACAACTAGCTGTTAAGAGACGACAAGCTTTACTGCAATCTCAACTGCTTCAGAACTTCAAAAGAGATACACAAGAGGTAACTAAGTACACGGTTATATTCTATAACTGACCGAGATGGAATTTTGCGTTTTGCATTTTAAACTTTCCGATGCGGTGTCTTTTATTGGAATATTCACATACCTAAATTCCATCCACTTGCTTAAAATGTCAGGACCACCCTGTATAAATGATAAACAGCACCTCGTGAAAGTCTAAGTCAGCTTTCATTTAAATGGTCACACGCACTTGGATTTCATCCACAGACTTATT